AACCAGAGAGTGAGTTCACGGGAACAAGATAACAGTAATACAGAAGTGGAATACAAAGTTGTGGTGGAATTTCAGCAAGAAAGGGGTTATATTCATCCGATAAAGATAACCAAAGCAATAGAGGAAGAGATAGGGAAAATCAAAACGGCCAGAATCATGAACAACAGAAAAGTGATAATTCAAGCTATCAGTGAGGCACAACAACAGAAGATAATCAAAATGAAAACTCTGATGGGAGAACGAGTTAAATCACATATACCAGGTTTTATGGCAAGGTTGAGAGGAGTAATCTCAGGAGTTCCACTTGAAATGACAATGGAGGAGGTGAAGAATGAAATCAAAGGAGGGAAAATAACAAATGCCACCAGGATTAAAAGTAGAAGAGAAGGGGAACTCAAAGACACTATGGCTGTGATATTGCAGTTTGAAAATAACATGCCAGAAAATATACAGCTAGGATTTATGAACTATAAAGTTAGAGAGTACATCCCGAAACCGCTCAGATGTTTTACCTGCCAAAGAATGGGACACATGGCAAAAGATTGTAAGGGAAAAATTAGATGTGCAAGATGTGGAGGACCACATGAATTTGGAAAGTGTGACAAAGACGCCAAAATCAAATGCTGTAACTGTGGTGGTGAGCATAGTGCAGCCTATGGTGGATGTATAGTTCAAAGGGAAGCTAGAGAAGCCCAGAAAATAAAGATAACAGAAAGAGTTTCTTACGCAGAAGCATTAAAAAGAATAAAGAAAGATAGTAAAAGAGGAATGAGGCTGGGAGAAGCAGATCAAAGTTACACTTCTCAGAACACAAATCAAGGAATGAATGGTCAGAGACAAATACTAATGCCAACAACAAATACAAATAATACATGTTTACATAAATGTAAAATAGAGGAAAATACAATGATGGTGAAAAAAGAAAACTTTGTAGCATTTATATGTCATGTTATTAATGTTACAGTCCAAATGAAGAAGAAAAGTGATAAAATAAAAGAAATAGTAACAGCAGCAGGGAGATTCCTAGATATGAAAGAAATTCAAGCAGATCAAATACATACCATTTTGAGTGCCACTGAAATAACAGAAAATGGTCAGGATTAGGATACAAGCTTTATTGATGGTCATTCATATTCTACAATGGAATGCCAGAAGTATAATAGCTAATGGACAAGAATTTAAAAAGTATATTTATGAATTAGAAGTAATACCAGATGTAATATGTATACAAGAAACATGGTTAAACTCAAACTTGGATTTTAAAATTCCTGGATATAATATAGAAAGACAGGATAGAAGTAATGGTAGTGGCGGAGGATGTGCCACTTTAATTAAGGAAGGAATTGCTTACAAGAAAAACTCATTAAATAAAAAAATAGAATGTGTAAATATAGAAATATTTAATTTAAGGAAACAAGGAAATATTAAAATCATTAATTATTATAATCCGTGTAAAAATCTAGATAATGAAATATTTAAGGAAATAGGGAAAATACATAGAAGAGAAGTTTGGTGTGGAGATTTTAATGCTCACAACAGTCTATGGGGTAGCAAGAAAACGGATCATAATGGTGAAATAGTGGAAGAATTAATGGATGAAAGGTCATTAGTTTGTCTTAATAATGGAAAAGGTACAAGAATAAATATACATAAAAATTCAATCTCATGTCTAGATATTACATTAGTATCTGACTGTCTTGTTAGTGCATGTGAATGGGATGTAAATGGGGAATCTACACTAGGGAGTGATCACTTTCCAGTGAGTACAATAATTAATGATAATATAAATAGACAAGAAGAGTTTAAATTAATAAGATGGTGCTTTAATAAAGCTGATTGGTTTAAATTTAAAACAAAATGTGAAGAAACAAGACATATAGTAACATTAAAAGGTAATATTGAAGAGTGTACAAATCAAATAGTAGAAAATATTCTAAATGCTGCAAATTACAGCATACCAAAAATAAAAGTGAAAGGTCAGAAGAAAGTAGTTCCTTGGTGGAATAATGAATGCAGTAAAACTATTAAAGATCGTAATAAAGCTTTTAAAATACTACAGAAAAATCTAACAATCGAAAACCTTATTGATTATAAAAGGAAAAGAGCAAAAGCTCGGAAAACTATAAAGGATGCAAAAAAGAAAACGTGGAGAGACTATTGTTCATCAATAGGTTCAGAAGTTAATTTACAGAATGTGTGGTCAATGTTTAGAAAAATGACGGGGAAAAAGAACAATGTCAATATTCCATCCTTAGTCAGAGGACAGGAGGTATTGGTTTTAAATAAAGATAAGGCAGAGTTATTAGGAGAGACATTTGCGGCAGTTCATAGTGGTGATCACTTGACAAATACCCACAGAAGGCAGATGATTCAAAAACTTGGAAATCATAAAAACTCACTAGAAAAATGTCAAAAATATATGTCAACATTGGATATGAATATAACCATGAAAGAAATAAAAACAGTATTGAAAGGGACAGGGTATTCAGCTCCAGGGGAAGACCAGTTATGTTACGCTATGTTTCGACAGATTCCGGAAGTAACACTGAAATTAATATTAGAATTATTTAATAAAATATGGAAAGAAGGAACAATACCAAATAGTTGGAAAAGGGCAATAATTTTACCATTTAATAAGCCAGGTAAAGATCCTTCCTATCCAAATAATTACAGACCAATTGCTCTTACTTCCCATTTAAGTAAATGGATGGAGAAAATAATGGTTAATAGATTAGGATACTATCTTGAGAAGAATAATCTAATAAATGGATATCAATGTGGATTCAGAACTGGAAGATCAACAATCGATGCTCTAACTAGAGTCAGTAATGACATAGAGAAAGCTTTAAAAATGAAGGAAATAATGATTATAGTATTTTTTGACATAGAAAAAGCATATGACTCACTATGGAAAGAAGGATTACTTATAAAAATGAAACAGATGGGAATAGGTGGGAGAATGTATAATTGGATAGCAAATTTTCTACTAAATAGAAAAATAAGAGTAAAAATTGGGAATGACTATTCAAATGAATATAATGTTGAAAATGGAATACCACAAGGTAGTGTAATTAGTCCAATTTTATTTAATATTATGATCAATGATATTTTCTATGAAACTGATAAATGTATAAAATCTGCACTATATGCAGATGATGGGGCCATATGGATGAAAGGGAAAAATATTAAACATGTTGTAGAAAATATTAAAAAAGCAATTAGTAAAGTTGAAAAATGGTCTTATGAATGGGGTTTCAAATTATCAGCAACCAAATCTTGCTATATGGTTGTCACAAAGAAGAGAAATATTAATATAGAAACAATAACATTATATGGACAGACTTTAGAAAGAGTAACAGAATATAAATATCTAGGTTTATGGTTGGACAGTTCTTACTCATGGAAAACACATATAGATAACTTAGAAACCAAATGTAAAAAAGTTATTAATATATTAAAGGCTGTGGCTGGAAACAATTGGGGGGCAGATAGACAGTCATTATTAAGCATATACAGGGCTCTAATGAGAGCAATAATAGATTATGGCAGCATTATATATGGAGCAGCAGCTAAAACATCATTACAAAAAATAGAAAGATTACAGTGTAGGGCTTTACGAATAAGTACAGGAGCAATAAAAACAACACCTATTAATGCTCTATTAATTGAAAGTGGGGAAACTCCACTTGAAATGAGGAGAATTAAATTAGCTTTAGCATATTGGATGAAAATTAAAAGTAATATAGATAATCATGTGAATTCAACTATTCTGCAAAATTGTTGGGAATTGTGAAGTTCCAAAGTAATGGATTTGGATGGATGGTTAGGAAATGGATTAAAAAGTATAGACTAGAAGACAAGGAAATAGCTCAATTTAACCCAATTAGCGTTATTCCTCCATGGCTAATACCTGAGGTTAATGTAGATTTGCAAATCAATACAATGAAAAATGATTGGAATATAAATGAAATAGGGATAAAAACTGATATTTATTTAAGAACTACATATAATAATTACCTTAAAATTTATACAGATGGTTCTAAAAATCTAAAAGGTTATGTGGGTATAGGAATATATATCCCAGAGTTTAAAAAATGTATTCACAAAAGAATATCAGATCAATTGTCGGTATTTACAGCAGAAATGGTGGCAGTTATATTAGGCTTGCAATGGGTGGAGGAGATTCGACCAATCAGGGTGGTGGTGTGCACAGACTCTAAAGCAGTAGTGGAAAGTATTAAGGGAGAAGGAAATAATAGAAAAGATTTGGTATTAGAAATTCATCATATTTTATTTAGACTATATAGGGGTGGCATTGATGTTTGGTTTTGTTGGGTGCCGGCACATGAAGGAGTAAAAGGCAATGAAAAGGCAGATAAATTAGCTAAAAGGGCTTTAGAGGGGGAAATAACGATTTCAATTCCTTTTGGAAAAGGGGAAGGGAAATCACTTATTAAAAGTAAAGAAATGGAGGAATGGCAAAAAATATGGAACGAAGATAGGAAAGGAAGAAGATTATATGAAGTGCAAAAGTCAGTTCGAATTCGAAACATTAATGAAAGAAACAGAAGAGAAGAAATAATAGTAGATTAAGAATAGGTCATACCTACTTAAATGACATGCTTTACTTAATAGGGAGGAAAAATAGTGAGAAATGTGAGAAATGTGGTGAAAAAGAAAATGTAGAACACATACTGATGAACTGTAAGTTATATGAACACGAAAGGGAAAAATTAAAGAGAATAGTTAGAAGTATAGGGCATGAATGGAATCTTAAAGGAATATTAGGAAATGAAGGAAACATAACAGATATTCATAAACTAAGGAAAGCATTGTTTTTGTATCTTAAGAATACAAAATTAAAAAATAGAATCTAATAGATGTGAAGTAACGCTGCTACACACTCATGTACAGTAGGTGGCGGTATGCACCTTAAAGTTGCTTGTGATCCGCCATAATAGAAGAGAAGAAGAAGAAGAGGTTGTTGCGGGCAACTTCCTTCCTTCTTCCCGTCATGCACCTCGCTTATGTTGGCACAGTATTTGATTGATTAACATCACATTTAGGTTAACCGCACGAGTACTGTGTTGGAATGAAATGAGAAATAAAAATATAAAATGTCGGTCTAGTTTATGTAAGCAGGAAGTAAAACTGTTACCGGGGTCAAAGTTAACGGTGAGCTCTGGGGCTAGATAAACCGTAACTACGCAACCAGCGCGAGCTGAAACATCGATGGTCTGCAGTTTGTTTTCCTGCGTTTTCTGTTGGACATGGAAAAACAAAGCTACGTAAAGGAAAGGCTCATAGCACCTACTGACTTCACCTCTCCAAGTATGTTCCTCTGACTTAATGTTCAATGTTACATTAAAGGAGAATATTAGCATTTTATTCCTGCTACATAAAGCTAACTCTCAACAGGCAGGTAGTTTGATGTTGGAAGATGTTATTTACCCATAACTTTCCCTCATGTGAATCCATTTTGTGGAACAACCGAGTAAACACCAGAAATAAACAAGTTGAAAAGATTTTTGAACAATTCATGATACGAAATGGATATTCTGTTTGTGATTTGAGGGATTCCCGTGCTAACCTTTTGAATTCCGAAGATTTTATTTAAACTATATAACTACAAAGTTATACCAGAGCCTGCAAAGCTATCAGTAACTTTAAATTTAGGACTTTAACTTAACTGACATAAACCCAATAATAAAATTGTCAATCCTGTTTTTCTTTTTCATGAAGTCCATAACATGGCTAAAAAGTTTCCAGTTTCCCCCAAATTCAAAGAGACCAATTTTAGGATAATTAACAAAATAAACACAGTAGGAGACTTAAAATAAAAAGTTTTTATTTCAATCTTTGTACTTTCTGTTATACTGATGAAATACTAGACCAAATGTTGTTGTTTTTTATCCCTTTATAGAAGTTCTTGTTAAACATTAGAAATTAGTTAACACTCAAAACAGATGATAAACCAATTTCTAATATTTCATATATTCAGGGCTGCCAACTCTCACCCATTAGGAGTGAGACTCACCCATCTTAGTGTCTTCACACACTCTCACTCCATATTCCCAATTTCTCACAATAAAAAGGATCACATCCAATGGTTTGTTTTCTCTTTATTGGTGCTTTTTTTTTACTCCCAGTTTTAGTCCATGTTTTGCTCACAAGTTAAATGATTATTGCTCAGTCTAGTTTAATAATCTCCCGTTGGCATTTAGGAGTAATTAAACCAACACAAATATTTACATTTTTAAAGTTCCAGGTTTGCCTTTCAAACGGTCCACAAAAAGAAAAAGCACCATTGCATTTTATTTTTCAAAAGATCAGCCACCCAAGAAAAGACCAACCACATCTAGAGAGGATGTGCAGAACAGCTCACTTATCCTGGATTCACAGAGAAGAAACCACAGGGATGTTTTTCTTTTATTATTACCTATCTTATTCATTTATCTTTATTTTTGTCCATTGAATATGTTTAAAAGCTTAATTTCCATCACACCTTCCAAACTGAAACATCCAGAGAAGTGCTGTCTCCTGTCATGGTGAGTTTTTATTGAATCTACAGCCTCCTAGAAGGTCTGAACTGTTTAGCCATTTTGTCAATTGTAAGAAAAACTAATAACATAATGAATGAAGCTTTTTAATCCTTCGCCTATTACCAAATATTCAAACACAGTGTAGTTTGCATGGGATTCGATGCGCTGGTTCTTGTATCACTGCCAGTAATGCAGTAATAGCTTATTATTTCCTCATTGTTTAATTTACTTGAGCTGCAGAGAATAATTAATGAACAAAGTGGTGAAATTCTAAGTTTAAAGTATATTTAAGATGCAAGTATTTTAGTTGGGCCCATTCTTCTTTACTTCAATTCTCTAAAAATCACCAGAATATAGAAAATTATGTATATTATGAGAAAAATGTTCCACATAACTGCAGACCACTTATTGTTACTCAGTAACATTTACTCTGCTATAAAAATTCCACATTTTGCCACTTTGTTTCAGTTAAATCTTTTGAAAACCTACAACCTTTAGCTGCACCTGTCCTCATCTAACCCTGACAGGGTTTCCTGTCCAAACTATTTCAAAATCTCACCTTAAGGTTTGGTGAGAAGTTGGCAGCCCTTATATTGTATAATTTAGTTCATGTAATTCCGCCTGTTTGTGATATAGCTAACATGATAGTTTTTCTGGGTAGATTTGACATTTACTGCAGTTAATGCCAAAAGTAAGGCGGGACAAATAATCAGCATCAATATACATATATATATATATATATAGTGAAAGTGACAAGATCAAAATAGTACAATTCATAAGGTTTTCAATATTTCCATTGCACTCTAATCCAAAGCCACATGGTATTATGGGATCATCTGGGCCTTTCAAAGTTGTTCCCCCTGGTCCTTATACAGAGGTAAAGAAAAGACTAATCAGTAGTTATTGATATTAACTGATAAGAAAATCTTAACTTATTACATTTTTAAAGTCATATCATTCAGCCCTAAATTTAGACTACCCTTTTCAACAATTATATTAACGCAAAGCTGTAAAAAAGGAAAATTACTTAAAATCATCTCTGAATTCCTACTTTTTCAAAGTTTTTGTGTAAGGCGCATGCTTTGCTGATACTTTAATTTGCCCTCCATCATAATTTTTTGTTTGATTTATTCATGTATTTTTTGTTTAATTGGAGACTTGTGTAAAAAAAAATATTGTGTCATTTTTAATCATGTAAATAGAAAAAATCAAAGTAGCTTCCAAGCACATGACCCTTCTCTTTTGGTGACCTTACATAAGGCAGGGGTGAGGTAAGTGGAGGGCCAAAACACATTGAAATGATTTACAGAAGTATGAGTGCTAGGCTGATTGAAACATTAAATATACTATTTGTAAAGGAAGGCTTTGTGTTTACACCTATAAGCTTTCTCTCTGGTTCTTTCCTGAGAAGAGATCACTTTAGACAAACTCTTTGAATAACACTCATAATGTTTATGTATTAAATAACCATGAGACATGATAACAGATTTAGACAGGGATTGTAACCTTAATCAGACCCAAGGAATGGCTCAGGGTTACAGAAGGCAGTGCTTACCAACCGGGCTCTGATCTTGTTGAAGTTGGCCCAGAATTACAGTTAGAGAAGCATTTTATACAACTACAGTCTGCCACATCATCACATCATACAAGAAGCATAGCTCTAGCCTTACTAAACTACTACACTATGTTCTTAGATCAAGGACATACTCTCCTTCCATTCCCAAATCTTTGCCAGATGTCCTAATTAGATAAACTACTTGGGAAAACATTAGTTTTGACATGTAACAGGCAGGTATTATTAGGGTTTAACAGACTCACACATCATCAATAAAAATAATCGTAAAACTTAAAATTCTAAAATGCACATATAAATTTGAAATACATATGAAGTTATGAATTTAAACATCCATCTACTTAGTAATACACAAAATTACTTCACAATAAGTATAAATACATATAGCAAGGGAATTTTATGTATTTTTAGTGGATCTCCAGTTTGGCATTTTTCTTTTGTTCACAGGCAGAAATGTTTGGGAAAACCCTGACATGAGGCATATCTTAAGTGAGCAGTTGATTTTTAATAATCCAACATTCTTGTTTTATTTTCATTTTATTTGATTCAGGCTTTTAATCAAAGAACTGCTGCAAAATTATTGAACCATGTCTTTATCAAGTAGTTTAAAAATCTTCGATAAACAGTTTTTGGTTCAGGACATTTTCTCTAAACTACATTTCCCACAATGCACTGCATCCATTTGGAAGTAAAGTAAACCAACACAAATCTGCTAAAAAAAAAATGTCCTACTGAATTTGACATATTGGGTCATTTGAATTTTTAAAATCCCAATGTTTTCATATTAGTGATATTACTTTTAATTAAACTCCTTTACCATAGAACTATATATTTAACTTGGAGTAAGCCACAACATACATTTAGTTATTGATTTAACACTTTAACACTATATGTATTGAATTAAGTCTCCTTAAGGTAACAAATGGAAAGTAAATTTACAAAATTAGTTTGACTTTGATGCTTTTCTTTCTACCGTGATGCGTTTATAGTTAGCGCTGTTTTTTTTCAATGCATGTCTATTTTGATTTGTGTCATTATTTTAGGGAGCATCCAGGGAGATTTGATGCCCCCTTCACATTTTGCATCGACTATCCAACCTGCTGATGCTCCGGGGGCCTCAGGAACACCTGATCTTTCACAACCGCCCCCTCCACATACGCCCTGGGTCAATCCAGCGGTAAGAAGAAAACCACCAGAGGAGCCCAGTGCTGTCACCCCATGGCTCGCCATCACACAGACCCAGCAGGAAATCTTGAACTTAAAAAAGGAAAATCAGAGAATCCTTATGCTTCGAGGAGATAATAGCAGAGGAAAGACTTCTGCAGATGATCGACCAGACATTAGAGCTGGGTAATTACACTTCCTTGATTTATATTGTCAGTAATAAGATAAACACAGTTAAGTTGGATGTTGTAAACTCTGTTTTCTGCAGATCCTCAGAAAGCAGTAAGCAGTGGTTCCAATCAGACCCGGGGTGGCTTCTGAAAATAGAGAAACACAAGGCGGAGGCTGAAAGGTCAAAAGGCCAAGTGGAGGCCTTAAAGGAGACAGCAGAGAGGTACAGGGAAGAACTGAGAGAGAAGGACATATCTCTGAGCAGGTATTCATTTACTTATGTGTTCACCCAATAACATTTTTATGGTTTAATTTTAATTTTAGCACATGGACAATGTCGTTAATCTGCCAAGCTTGACCTTTAGCATCATAGGGCGTAGCTAAAAGCTAAAACACTGCTTGTGTCCAACTCTACAAGCTCTGATTTGAGTTCTTTAACATATAACCTCTGACTAAAGGCTTCGTAAACTGATCACAGGACTCGTGGTCCCTGGAGAACAGAGCCTTGATCTATCTTAGTCGTACAGTCTTGGACGCAGCTGCAGAGAAACGCCAACTGTATTATTTTCAGGTGTGCTGTTTGCTACAGATGTCGTACGACTCGACTTTCTGTCCAGTCGGATCTGCTGTGTTTTGGCCTTAACTTTGCTTGCATTCAGAGATAATTGGTCCAAACTGGAGGTGCTGCTCAGTTTTATCAGATTCAGCACCAGTAAAAAAAAGTAAGATAAAATCATTGTGATGTCTTCCAGGTCGCCGGCCTAAATTTTAAGCACACCTGTTAACACAATCATCCATTCAGCCGTTCACAAGGCAGCACTAAACTCAGAACTAACGAGGCCACAGCAGCAGGGGAGCTCTCCTGGTTCCGATCCAGTTGTTTAAAAATAGGAAACAGCTCACCGAATCACAGAAATTGTACTATAACTGTACAGAAGAGATTTTGTATGACCGTCCTGCTTCATTATGACAGTTGAGGCTGGCAGTGTAAATCTGTGAGATAAATTTATTTTACTAGAACACTTTTCACCCCTGAACACCAAAATGAGCCTTGTTTAAGCCAAGCAGCCTACCTGAGCATGTTTACCTCGACTATCCTTAGTTTATTTATTTATTATCCCCTCTTCAATCAAGATAAAACTCCTTGTAACAGGTGATCAGAGCATAATGAAATATCCTCCATAGTAAACCCGTAACGCTACTTTAGATGTGCAGGCGACAAATCTGCAGCAACGATGTGAAGCTCTCCTGTTAATATGGACCCCTGGATTATTTAAAAACATCTTGTTAAATCTATGCACCATAAATACCAAGCAGGTACCATCCAGATGTGCCTAATAAAATGCCCATCGAGTGTATAAACATTTACATGTAATGTGTATATATATATATTCATGCTATATTCGTCATTTAAAGCATACTTAATAAGATATGGACATTTTTATTAATTGGAAAAAAATGTGATCCGTGTTCCATCTAAGCTGTGCACTGCTAGCTCATTCTCAGAGCACAAGAAAATCTATGCAGAGCATACAATAAAATAAAACAGTGAATGAAATCATTTTTTTTGTTTTGTTTATCATTTTGAATCCATCTATCAATCATTTACAACTTAAAACCAACAATGAAAATACAGGAAACAGCTGGCTCTGTGTACATTCAGGTAATTGTCTGAAAGTACATGAATTACAACCCCCCCCCACCCCCAACTTCTGTTGCATAATGTAGAGAAACGGAGAACAGTTTTTCCCTCCCAAACCACATTAAATGTAATAATGATAATAAAATGAGCAGGTAATGTGTTCATCTTTTATTCTATTTCTTTTGGGCTGTTTTAGCATCTGTGTAATTAAAGGGTTATGGGGAGAGACACAGTGTTACAGGAATTTGTACTATATCACAAGCTTCAGCACACATTTCATTGTAGTTAATGTTTTAATGTGAACAAAAAGTTCTGTCTGAAAGGTGTAGCGTCTTATTCCTTCCAGAGGACACTCACCCTGGCCAAAGCAGCACTCTTACATATACCAAACTACACAACAAGATTTTTTTTCATTTTAAGTGGGCAAAATAACTTTAATTAAAAGTAAACTAATGGAAATCGCTGCTCCACTCTCTTAGTCTTTTAAGAAGCCATATAACTTGCTATGATCCAAGGTTTATTAGATATAAATATATCTAATAAATGGCCTCATACGTTGTCTCTGCCTGCACATCTGATGTTGGGGCGAAAAAAAAAAAAGTTTGAAAAAGTAAAATCTGAAGAATATTGAGAAAAAAAAAATAAGAAAGAATGTTTGAGAAAATCTGAAAGAATAAAATAGTAAACTGAGGTTAATTACTCTTCAAATCTTTGTTTATGTAAAAGCATTTCAGATTTAAATTTTTTAAAGACGAAAAATTCTTCAAATCTTTGTTCAAATATGTAATTTACTTTCAATAATATTGGAACTAATAACTTTTTATACAGATCCTTAATCTAGTTAGTCACAGCAAAAGCTGAGCCCATAGCTATGTCTAGGAGAGAAACAGGACTACACAATGAAAAACAGGCAAAGTTCTATTATCCATAACTGAATATGTTGATGGCAGCGGAACAGTCAAAAACAGACCAGATGAAGTCACTGTGATGAGAAAAAGCAGAGAGAACGTAAGGTTAGTGGTTACCCTAAGAAATAATGCAGAGAAGGGGTCCCCATGTCTTCCAGCGGTCTAAGCAGCATGGCAACAGAGATAGCTCAGGATAACCAGAGCTATTCTAGCTATAAGCTTTATCGAAAAGGAAAGTTGCCTTAAAAATCTTTTGGGCCTGCATATGTTTCAACTATTAGGAGTAAATATTTTTTTGTTGTTTTTTTTTTTTTTTTTTTTCAATCCAACTCGGAAACAGACAGAGGCATGAGTTGGAGACAATGCAAAAAGAACTGTCAAAAGCAAAGACTGAACTCTGCCGAGCCAGAGAGGAGCTGAGCCTCAGCAGTGCGCAGAAGAAGGAAATGAGCTTCCAGGTAATGATGTTGACAGACAAAACATTTCATTTCCACACTCCTGTAGACAACAGTCACCTGAGATTTACTGGCATCTTGTAACACTCATCTTTGCAGCGTGTTCTGCTGTTTTACTAGTTTTTTTTCTTGCTAATAGACTGCAGTGACTTTTAATTTAACAGGTTTTTAATGCGATAAGATCCAGAGATAAAATGTGTTGTTTTGCTTTTTTTGTCTTAAAATGTCTTTTGTAGCTTGAAAAATTGCAAATGGAGTCCAATGAGGAAATTACAAAGCTGAGGAGAGATGTAGAGAGGAGCGAGGAGTTGTTCAGGGACCTAGCTCTTCAGGCTGAAAGAGAGCGTTTTAAGGCTGAGGAGGAAGCCAAACTGCAGGCTCTCAGGGTGAGGGAGAAGATTGAAGAGCTAAAGATGAAACAGGAGGTAGAGGTACGACCTTAATCTCCTTTATGGAAATGTAAACCATCATAATCCTTAACTTTTTGCATCCAAATTTGAATGATTTTCCTTAAATCTCAACGCCTTTGTCTAACAATGCTTGTTGGCTGCCATTAAATCTGGGGCTGAACCGGTGAAGCAAATGAAGTCAAACCTCCACCTTAAGCTACTGCCTGATTATTGGTGCCCTAAAATTCCCCTTGTTTGTCCCTCCTCTCTTACAGATCCAGCAGCTGAATGCGTCCCATTGTGCAGAGCTGGACGCAGCCAGAAAAGCAAACAATGACCTACAGAACCGACTTCAGTCAATGACAGCTGAAGTGCTGCAGCTAAAAAGCGCTTTGATGGAGGTGTCTGCAGAGAGGGATGGACTCAGAGAACATTTAAGGTCCCCCCAAATTAATTTAAGACCAAACGAAGCAAAGCATCCAAAGCACTTTGTAGTGAGATGCCCTTATTTTCCTCTTTGTCTGATAATGTTGCTTATATTTCAGCCAAATGGGACAAGCCTTTGAGACACAATCTGCAACACTGCACAGCCTCAGAAATTACATCGGCCAACTCGCCCCAGAGAACGGAGAGAGAGAACGATTAAACGAAGCTGTTGAGGTGAAGAGAATCTAAACGACTGATCGAAATGAACTGCTGGGATGTTATTGCATAAAACCTTTAATTTCTCTTCTCACATTACTTAAGGAACATCAACTGAGCAAATGAAAACCTAATTTATGCAGCAACACTAGCATCACAACAACCCACAGCTTTTCTGTTCTAATCTTGTCCATTTTGCAGAGGCTGAGCAAGGAGAAAGCGGCTCTCCAGACGACTACAGAGCTTCTGACAGTCAGGCTTAACTCGGTGAATGAGATTCTCAGCCTCCAAGAAGAGAAAATTAAGAGTGTGAGCAGATTTATTTATTTTCTTCCTTCACCCACAGGTCAAAAGCTTTTGTTCTTAAGATAACAGACATCTTTGACTTGTCTTTTTTTTTTTTTTTGGTTTAATCAACAAGAATGTTTCTAAAATGAGCATTACTTTTATCTGGTTCCAAAGAAAGACGAGTTAAAATAAATTCAATTTCACAGCAGTAAAGCCTTGCCTTGAGAAAATTACCTTTAAATTGTTTGCAATTGATTAATTTTACTAAATGATTTAACTTGACTTGTGTCTCAAAATGATCAAACCTCTAATCAAAGTGTTTTTTATTGATTTTTCATATTCAAACAATGGACATCCCATACAGAACAAAATAATAGGGTCAAAATTTACATCACAAAAACAGATAAAAACACAGACAAACTAGCAGCAAGACAGATCCTACTACTACCAGACACACCACCCCAGTTCCAGACTGTCTTAGGCTGAAACTAAATACATAAATTTGAATGACAATAATAACCACACTGGGTTCCAGTTATGCCAAAGCAGTCTGAAATTCAGATTTAAAATAGGAAATAAAAGGCTGCCAGACCTTGAAATATCTCTTAGTATTTCCCTGTAAAATAAATCTAAGATGTTCCAATTTAAGATGTGCCATCACCTCCTCTACCCATCGTTTGCGAGTTGGCGGTGCTGCCTTTATCCAATGAAAAAAGATCAGTCTCTTGGCCAACAATGAAGAAAATGCCTTTGCTTTCCTTTGAGCAGTCGTTATGATCAAACCTCTAAATGTTTTTCTAAGATTTTACTAGTAATTGATATTTCAACAATACAAATCTGTTGATTAAAGTTGTTTCTGAGCTTTAAGCCAGTTATTGTTATACAACAATGATGAGACATTTATATGAAGTGAAATTTTCCTTCATTGAAGCAAAGCACATGTTTTGTAAATGGAAATTAAAAAACATATTTTGTAAACTGAAAGTTGATTTAAGAGAATCCAGATATGAAAACCTGAAAAAGGTTTTAATAAAAATAAAGGCTTTGACAGGAACTCTATGGTTTTCTCAGAATTATTTCATTTTTTTTTTTTTTTTTTATTAATTTCTTCTGATTTTATATTGGGCTGCTCAGTGGCGCACTGAAAGACAGAAATTTGGAAAGAACATTCAAAGATATAACATCTTGAAATGGAACGAAATGGAAAATTAAATGGATGTAAAAACATCTTTTGAATTAAAAAAATAAAAAACAAATATGGAAAAAACATTCGAAAGAACAAAATGGAAATAAAATGTGAGAAAACAGCAAAGATAACCTCAAAACCCTTAAACTGTTATTTTAAAGTTTCATTTCTGGATTGCATTTTTTTTATTTTCAAAACCTTTTCTTTCCTTCCAACAATAATGAAACAAAATTCACTCTATATGTTTCTTAGCAGCTCTTCAATTAGGAAAGACAGGAGAACACGCTGCTCAGCTGAGAAAAAGAAATTGTTAATATTCATAAAAAAGGAAGCAAGTAAATTGAAACAGCTGCGAATTTCTACACTAAAAAATTTGACGAGGTTGGAAAATGGCACAAGTTTATTTGGTCAAAGCAGGATAGATTGTACAGGATAATGAGTCAAAATAGAAAGCCAAATAAGCACATACGCTTAAGAAAACTAAACTATAAGAAAAAAAAGTGGTGAAAGTTCCCTTGCATGCAGAAGAGAGAAGCTTAATTTTAGTCTTAAATCAAAAGCTTTACAAAATTTGTTATGATTTTGTCATTTATGTTATATAAATAAAGAAAGAGAAGGTAACATCGTCTTCAGGAATCAGCCATGAAAAAGTGGCAGCACATATCAGAGATAGGGGAGAAGGAATTAGCTAAAAATCCAAATTGTGATTTATTTTCCACCAATATTGCAACTGTGATTTTATTGCGATTTTCCTTTGCACTCAACACAAGCATGTAAATGTTTCATCCTAGGGTTTTCTGTTTTTTCAGGACCTTGTGCGCTTGCTTGTCCAGAATCTCTTGTTGCAGGATTTTACTGTAACCTTTGTGTGAAACAGTGCTCACTTCTTCTATCATGTATGGATCTGGGTGCTGGCCGCAACACTTTCTTCCATTGTTTGTGGTGGCAAACACACTTTAAGTGTTTTACCGCCACCTAAAGGACTGGAAGTTTGTGTGTAACTCTGGCCAAACATAATGTGACTAAAATTGAGTCCTTCTACGATATGAAATGTATGTTTTTCTAAATTGTAATTATACTGCAAATACAATTGTCCATACTGGATTTAAACAACTTGTATTGGTCAATCTCTAGTTCCAAGTCTTTATCCATAAGTCTTGAGCCAAAGCCTCAAATAAATCAGTGAAATCAGAGTCGAGTATCAATTGAACACAGGAAATTCAAGTCGAGTTCAATGTTTCCAACATCTAATTTCCCTTTGGGACTAATAAAGTATCTTATGAATTGAATGACACTTTAAATTTAAAGTTCTTTTAAATCCTTTTTTTCAAATAAAGTTCAATTGCATGTTAAATGTAAATAATTGATCATATGCTCTTTTTAAATCAGTTTTTATCTCAACACATGATGAAACTAGTGCAACTGGAGATATGCTGATAAGGGAGTTAGCTGCTATCACAGCACAGGAGCAGTAACAGCCTCTGTTCTCTGTGTAGCTTCAAACGTTGAACAATGTTTTTGCCTTTTCTGTGTGTGTGTGTTTTTCTATTTGGTTGCATTGTGGGGGCCATGCTCTGGAAAAATGGACCCTACAAGGGGAATTGTTGTATTAGGGTGAGGGTCATGTTAAGGATTAAAGGTATAGTTGAGGATTTTCACCAGCATTTGAAAAGACCTGCTATCTCCACTTGGAAAAAAAAATGGAAAAGCACAACCCTGTACACGCTCCCGATAGGGAACACCTAGTAAATGCGTGTGACAGCATGCACAAGCCCATTTATTGTTGTGCACGCTCTGTTTAAAAGTGCCCTTTTGCATCGCTCACACAAACCCACTTTCCAAAAGAAGATTTGTAATTTTTTCACTATGTCAGACTCACAACCAGTAAGTGAAAATGAGGGCGAGCACGTAGGACGGCTTTACGTAAACACATCACCAGATTGACTTACAATTAGGAGGACCACTTATACCTTTAAGGTGTGGATTGAGGTTAGGTTTGGGTTAGGTATTAACTCGTAATGGTTGGGTTTAGGTTAAGGGTCATGGTTCGGCTGTAAAAATAGGTTAGAAATGCCTGGAAGTTTATGGTAAGTCCCAACAAAGATAGAGAGATGTATTATATGCGTCTCTGTAAGAGGGAGAGAGAGAGAAAGGTGTTAAATCAGGTTGACTTGATTGGCTGTGCTGCAGCCCACTCATAGAGTGTGGGATAACAGAGATACAATCTTTGTTTACAGGATGAGTAAAAGCGATTAATGGTGCTCAGTTTTTAAATAACAGGTTTTAAACTTAGATTTTGGATTAAATATCAAGTCTCTTCCAGTTCGGAGTCTTTTGAGTCTAGTCACCAATCTATACATTTTTCAGGTAGAGTCGAAAGTCAGAATATTAATGACTAGAGTCCATGTTATATGACTGGAGTCCTCATTTCTGGGAACCTGAAAAGGGTCTGAACCTGTTTCTAACTGTTCTCCCATGTTGAGCTGAGAGTTCATTTTTAAATAGATTTTCTTTTGACTGGTTATAAACCCTGACATTAACTTGATGAAAAATTTTTATTGCATCCCATCACTAGGGTAAATAGATGTCTTATAGCTCTGTCTACATGTCCTAGGTATTATTTGGACAGTTTACAGCTCTTTTATTGAGATGCTGCTTCTGTTGAGCTTTGGCTGCAATGTTGGTTGTTTGTGTATTTCTGCAGACCTCAACAGATCCTCTGATGAAGAGCGGATGTAAAGCACTGCAAGTGCTTCATCTGTGGAGGGAGAAAGTCTTCCAGTTGTGTGTCCAACTCCGGTCCAAAGACATTGAGATGAGAAGAGAGAAGGACAAACTCCTCTCAGAGGTAATGCGCCCACCCGCCAAACTGTAGTCCGGTCTAATCCGTGTTGATGTTTGACACCGGTCCTTTTTAGGTGCGATCCATGGAGCAGCAGCTGCAGCAGGAGCAGCACCAAGCCAGCGTGCTCCAACACAGCCTGCATGATAGAATAGCTGAGCTGGACCTGGAGAGAGTGGAGAATCAGGTGGGAAGCAGTGAAACTGCTGTGATTTACGCTGCTGCCTGAAAATCTGATGAAGCACAACACATTGGGGTGTAGTTAGAAAATGGGCGCAGGTGTGTGCATCATGAACGCGCACAGCATCAGCATGCTGACAGTGCAAAGCCGACTGGGGTAAGGTTTAAAGAACAGTACAGATCTGAGAAAAAGGTCACCTTGACAGATTTTTGTTGTTTTTTTTTTTTTTTTCCAACCAGACATTAAAACAAAACCTTGCAGAGGCTTCCAGAGAAAACACAGAGCTGAATGTACAGAAGCAGAAGGGAGAGGCTGACATTAAAGAACTGACCCAGGCTCTGCAGAGGTACAACCATTTAGTCTGAAGTTTCACAGGGTTTTGTCAGACATTGTTTTAAACTTTCCCAGTTTGCAGGTTCGGACGTGGATTAGAAACCAGGTTGGCGGATGTAGACGCGGCCAGAGAGAAGCTCAGCAGTTGTGCTCAGAGACTTTCGTTTGCCAACAGAAGAGTGGAGACAATCCAAGGCAGGTATTATTAGCCATTCGTTTACAGCTTACAGCCTGGTAGAGGATAAAACATAGTTTTTTTTTTTTTTTTTATAGGTTTGATCATGAGGAAGACGGCTCTGAAGAAAATAGAACAAGCTTCTAAACAGACAGAACCGGAAAATGACAGGTGTGAATAGAAACTTAAGTGTCTTATTGCTATTTGTGCTTTAGAATAATTTCATTTTGTCCTCCTACTGCAAACTACCATGAATCAGGATTTAATGGGATGAACCAATGCATCCCACAGAGAAGTGGAAATAAAATAATGATACAGGCTTTTCTGAGCTTCATCCCCTTAGCTCTGTTTGCACTGAATCAATCATTCAAACCTAACCTAAAAAACAAAACGCATGATCTCAGCATGAATCAGAGGTAGAGCAATACATCATTAGGACGATATTTTTACCAATCTTAGTTTTTTTTCCTCGTGGAAGCAGCCACGGTTTGAAGTCACATGAAGCACATGCAGCTCTGCTCCCTCCATCTGCTCTCCATTGATAACGTTATCTTAATAAATGTCTTTAAACTGAGACGGATGTAACAGTTGTTTTCATTGTAGAGGTTGACTGATACAGGTTATTTGGCTGATGGTGATTATTTTGGTATAACTGATCCTAGATATGTGCTACTGATTCTTTTGGCCAATATTGCTTTTCCTTTCTCCATTTAAATTATAAAAATGTTACACAAATCTAAATTTAAATAAAAACAAACTAAAAAATCAAACTAAATATTGATGAACAGCAGATATAGCAGCAATGCATGTGATTCATGTGATCTCAAGGCCTGCCTGCTGAATTCTCTTTTCTTATGTTTAGAACAAAGATGTGTGATCTACACACCATGGGAGACTTTTGATGACATCAAAGTAACTTATTGTGACGATGATTCCCCATCAAGTCTCCCGTGGTCTTCGTTCTTTCAAATACAATGAAACGGATCACTGCTCAACACTTACCACTTAATCTATAGAGATATATATAATTGCACATGCAAAATTTCAGCTATTTCAAACCACTGGAAGTGGGTCAGGGGCATTACAAAAAAATATACTGCAACCTAGTTTAAATTGCTAAACCTAGGTAATCTGAAATGTAATAATTAAAAAACTAGGCAAAAATACTTCTTTCTAGAAAAAGATGGTTGTACAGTTTTTGGCGTGGGGATTCTGAGTAGAAATGCATGCCACACTTTTCAGATTCTTGTCTGGAAAAGGCAAAAATTACATGTTAAATTTTATTTTATATTATATTGCACACTTAACGGTTAGGCATAACTTGGTTATTATCACGTTAAATTCAAGCACAATGAGGTTTTTGGTTGTAATTAAAAGGTTCATAAATTTTGAGTTTGTTTGCTAATTGGGCCATGCAGATCGGCTGAGGTATCGTCTCAGACCTTTTTTTCTCCCTGTGTTTAATGTGAGGCAGGGGTTCTCAGCATCTTGTGTTAAAGTTCCTGCTCCATTTTTAACTCCATTTGTTTTGTTTTTCTTTTGCCTGGCAGCATCATTAACTTAAAGATGGAGAACAGTTTGGTTTGTGAAGAGAGAGACAGACTCATGCAGGAGCTGAGAAGAACTCCAGAGCTCGTAGAGAAAGCTCTGGCTGATCTAAAAGAACAATGTGAGACACTTTTTACTAAAATGGCTTTTTAGAAGACTGTAAATCCACATCATAGCTGATGACTGTGAACCGTTGCCCTCTTTGCAGATGAGAGTAAAGTCAGGCAGCTGCAGCAGGACTTGGAGCACAGCTGCGCTCAGGTCAGGCTGGCTGTGGCCTCTAAAGAGCAGGCAGAGCAAAGCTTGCAGGAGATCCAGGCCCAGCTGGAGGAAAAGAACGCCAGCATGGAGAGCCTCCGCTGTGAACTGCTTCGCCAGCAGGAGCAAAGCAAGTGTGGTGAGCAGTGCTTATTTTAGGATCCAAAGGGCTCTTTTTTTCCTCCTGGTTTTCCCTCCTCTGCTCGTGTTTCACACGCAGTCCCAGGTGATCAGGGTTAGGGTGCAGGGGAACATTGTAGAGCAGCCCAGTGAGTGTAGCTATCAGGAAGCTGTTACCTTCCTCTTCATTTTCACTCCTCAGCTGCTCAGTCATCCAACAATAGTTCAGTTAGTAATGAAATAGAAATGCTCATTAATTTGTCTTGTCTTTTCTTTAGACACATTGATGGTAACTTCAATTGTTAAAGGTATTTTTTTATGATTGGCCAAAGGAATTAATCAAAAAGCTCAAATTAGGGATTGAGATACGAGTTAGAGATAAGAGAAAATGTATAAATTAAACTATAAAAAAAATTCATAAACTAGCTTTCAGTGTCCTACCTGATTCAGAGTGATATAATATCGATTTTATTAATTGCTAAATTATGTTATGTGCTTGATCTTCACTAATATTATTATCCTAATTAAGCAAATGTCACTGAACTCAACCAGGCGGCTTTAACTGTTATATTTGTTCCCTTAATAGCCCTTTTTACCCCTAAATCTTTTTTTTGCAGACAAACTGTATAAATTAGGGCCGGGACGTTAAACACCTGATTTTGATAAATGAATTACACAGATTATAACAGATTAAGAAAAATGAGTCAATTAAAAGCATTATTTCTGAGTGGGAACCTCTGCGTTCCCTTTTCTTGTATTTTCTTAAAAATGTGAAATTAATACCAACATTTCTGAGTGTTTTTTGTAAACATTTGCTACCTATTTTTCTTTCATCCAGAATGGCTCTAATACTGAAGCTGCACAGTTTAGCATAAAAACGCTCTGCTTCCAAATGCTTCAGTCAGAAGCTTGTTTTTGAAAAGCTGGGCTCCTCGATGAGACGCAGATGTTGCAGCTTGGCTGGATAACGATTGGCAAACACATGGCGATCCATCCTGCCTTCAACAGCAGTCTAATGCAATTTTAGCCAAACTTTTCCCTCATACTTTTCCCTTGAAATCACAAATATTGAGATTTTTACTAAGAGATATAAGATGAGACCATATTCATTACATGCACTGCAAAAACAATCCAGAAATAAGTAAAAAATGGCTTAAATTAAGTATATTTAGCCTTAATTTGAGCAGGTAAATAAGATGATTTGCCAATGGAATGAGTATTTTCACTCTTAAAATAAGATAGTTAGATAATATTTACTTGAAATAAGACGATAAAATAGTTTTTTCTTATTTTAAAAGGAAATTGTCTTGTTCCATTGGCAAAGTGTCTTACTTATCTCCTCAAATCAAGGAAAAACACACTTATTTTAAGAAAAAATAACTTATTGAGATTTATATTTTTTGCAGTGTGGAGATGCTTTCTAATCAAACCTAACACCAACCTGCCCCTGTCTTTTATTCATTTATCTATGCTGAACTTCCCAGTGATTCGCCTACCTCCCTTTCTGAACACAAATCAACCCCCCACCTCTTCCTCACTCTTTGTTTGTTGATTATAATAATTAAATTCACACTAACACAATATTTTCTAACCATTTTTCTTGAAGGTCTGCAGCTGTTTGTTCATAAATGTGCCCGTGTTACATGTGGGACAAAGCTCTGATTTATAGGTGCAGAGCTTGGCATTAAAAGATAAATCTCCAGCACATTTACCCAGAAAGCATGGGTAAGTGGGGGAGTGGCGGTGTAGTGGTTAGGGCATATAGCTTGGAATCCTGAGGTTGTGAGTTCAAACCCAATCCCACAGCCTGCACTCTGGCTCTCTGAGCCAGACCCTTAACCCCAGACTGCTCCCCAGGTGCCGCACAATGGCAGCCCACTTCTCCCCAAGGGGATGGGTTAAATGCAGAGGTAAATTTCTCCAATGTGAGAACAATAAAGTTAAATTATTATTTGGTTAAATTAGACCAACACTAACAAGACTACAACACAAAACAACCATAAATGTGCAGACTGCTTTATGGCATACACCACTCCCCCCTTTTCCTGTTCATTATAAAGACGGAAGTCGATGCGAATACATTTCCCCGGCACACTGTATTTTTGTGCAAATTGTGCAGGGGTGATATTCAGGCAATGCGGCTCCTTCCTACTGGGATCTAAAGCTGGGCGATATGGCGATATATATCGTGAGGACGAGAGAAACATGTCTATCGTGACCTTTCTCCTCTATTTTTTCTATCGTGATAAACTTTTTTATTTTATCTTAACTTTTTTTAGCCAAGATTCTATACTGTTCACTGTCATGGCCGCAAATTGCATAACTGGTGTTCTTGGTTTGAGGTTGGGATTCTCATATTAGGAAACAAGATGATGGGTAAAAAATAGGCAATGAAAGATTTTTTTCAACCCTGTCCATCTGACGGACTATGAAAACATAAAATGCAACATCAGTTGTGGCATATCGTGATATATATCGTTATCGTGATATAAAATAATCCATATCGTGATATAGTTTTTTTTCCATATCGCCCAGCCCTACTGGGATCTATATGTGTGTTTACTGTGAAATGATCAAAGAACATGTTTCAAAGCTCTAAACTCATCAGCACATCAGTCGCTGCTGAGTCAGGTTGGGCAGTGCAGGAATCCAGTACAAAACCAAAGTTAAACGTTTCTTGTTTTTTCATCATATTGACAAAACATTGTTTCGCCAGATTAGATTCATTACCTCAGTGCTATTTATCACAGAGTTGCTGGAAACAGAAATGTATTTTAGTCCAGCTGCAGGCAACCCGAGGATCAGGATTTTACCACGCTAGGCTCTGCTCCTCGTGGGAGATTCTTTCCTCCTTCAGGCAAAACAGTTCAGCTTTTGTCCACTGGGTGGAGCCAAAATCAACCAAAACTGAAAGTTATTTAGAACTGCTTTAAAACTTAATGTCATTCAAATGATAATTAATATTTCTGGTTTGAAGCTGTTGATTTAGCTTCACCTAAAATTTAAAAATGTATTACTACGGAAAATAAAACCCAAAGGAAAAGATAATTCTTTGTGTCGCAAAGACCTACTTCAAGTCTAAAGTGTTTGAGTTGCATGACTAGATAATAGAATTTAACTTTATTGTTATTGCTATGTCACGAGTACAAAGCAACTAAATGTGGTTTGCATCTATCCAGAAGTGCTTTACAGGATATACATATTATTATAGGTGTATGTACAAGCAAAAAGTACTGTAAAAAGTTCTGTATAAATATGAATATGGGAGCTACGTGCACAGATTATACATATTGTACAGAATATACAGGAATGTTAGGAAAAGGATTATATATATATTAGCGGGTTTTTGATACAAGATAAATAATGGCAGATAAGATTTACAGATAGTATACAGATTGTGTATGTGTGTGAGGGGAACAGTCCCTGACACATAGTCCCTCATAATGTCACATTTGTTGGTGAATGGGGGATCTCATTGGCCTCATTTGAAAAAATAAGAACTTCTACCAATTGTTTAAATAAGTACAGTCCCCTACTGTACAGCCTGCAAAATGTCGGAAACATCTAATAGAAGCAAACTTTAACAATTTTAAGGTATTTCAATTTGTTTAAGGATATTAATAGATTAAAATCTGCATTACTTCACTTAAAACTAAAAGGAAAGTTCTTTAGAAGTTAGTGAAATATTGTAATTTTTTTTCAAAAGTATTATGTGTTTAGCCTTTGGAGTAAAAAATCAAATACAGCTTCTCTTTGGAATATTATGTCAATGTACGTTCATGATTCTGAAATATCACATATACTTGACCAATTTTAAATAATAATGATCAGTTTTAATCAATTTAAACTTTGGTTTAACAGATACATTTAGCTGTGACCAATTAGAGTTTTTATTTGAGATGGTTTAAAATCACATTTAGCAGATAGAAACTGATCATGTCTTTATATGACTAAAGCTAAAAGTGCATTGCCTCAATTTTCAAATTATTAAAATAAAAGAGAATCCAAGAGACCAATCCGTTTTGGTATATGTGTCACTGAATATCATACTAAGAAGTGTATTTAGTAAATGCCTTTAATACAGGGGCCATAACAATGGCTAGGATCTGTTCTGCAGGGGCACTCGCCCCCTGTTGGCCACTGTGTAGAATCGCACACGGTTTCCGGGTGAAAACCCACAGAGTCATTTAAAGGAATAGTACACCCAAAACATGATTAGCCTTCATTTTCTACTCACCCCCGTGCTGAACAACACTCTGGAGTACTTTTTTGATTCCTCAAATGCATCTGGAGATCTGGGAGGCTTCTTGCTGTCTGCTGACATTCAAATAATGGAGGTCTATGGTGCCTGAGACAGAAAGGTCCATAAAAGTCCACAAAAAACGTGTCAATATTCCTCCATACTGCTCGTCCAATGTATTCCAAGTGTCCTGAGTGGGTAGCATCCAGAATTTACTCGAAACGAAGTCATTTAGAATGTTTTTAGAGCATAAACAGTAGTGTATAGGACTTCCTGAAAGCGCGCACATGCGCGTTCACGACGCTAAGGGAGCCGGCAGACCAAACCAGCGCATTCAGCTCGGCAAAGAACTCATGCTCTTTCTCAACACTGAAGTCCTCAGACATTTTTCTTTCGTTGTTTCTTTCTTTGTACAGGTAAACAGCACATTTCTTCTTCTACGCTTGCATTATTGGCAGAGCAGAAGCTGAATGCGCACTTTCATCTGGTTTGGTCTGCCGCGGTTTTCGTAGCGTCATGAACTCGCATGTGCGCGCTTTCAGGAAATCCTATACACTACTGTTTATGCTCTAAAAAAATTCTTAATGACTTCGTTTCAAGTAAATTCTAGATGCTACCCACTCAGGACACTTGGAATACATTGGACGAGCAGTATGGAGGAATATTGACACGTTTTTTGTGGACTTTTATGGACCTTTCTGTCTCGGTCACCATAGACCTCCATTATTTGAATGTCAGCAGACAGCAAGAAGCCTCCCAGATCTCCAGATGCATTTGAG